TAAAATCTTGAGACCAATGGCACCCCCAATGCAAAAATGTATAGACAGAAATAGTCCAATGAGATCCAGAAATATCTTCCTCGTGTCATGTGGTCCTAATAGGAAAAGCTTAACTTGGGCCACTCTCTCTCCCGAAAGGGCCTGCTTGACAACAGGATTATTCTCTGAGTCGTGTGGAGAGGCTCCAAAACGTAGGTATTGTTTTTTTTTATCTATGGATCTCGTTTATTAGAATTTTGGATCTCATTCCCTATAACACGGGGCTTGAGTTCCTTAGATTTAATATTATAAGGAAGTGGAATTCCAGCCTCTCAATTAGTATTTCTAGCTGATGAATCATGTGCAGATAGCCAGTTGTATTAGTATGCAACGCCATGAGCATACATGCTTTGAGAACTATACAAAGTGGAAAATACATTAAGAACTGATATAAGGAGCCTATAGTTATTAGGCTATGTATCTAGTCCTGTCTAATTGGGGAACTCGAGCCTATCTAATATGGGATCTCTGTTCCTTGAACACAAGATCAAGTTCCTTAGATTTAATTTGTAAGGACATCAATCGCTATCATAAGGGTTTTGGGTACCGTTGATAGATTGATTGTACCCTCAATCCCAGAACCATTCACGATTTAGTTCCCCATGCCTATGTCCGAAATTGCACTAAAATTTTGTGAAATTGTGGTCGCTTAGCTGGTGTTAATGGTATTCACAAGCCTAGGGATCGAGATTGACATAATGTTGCTCGAAATTTATTGAAAATTGTAATTCATAAAAATAGTTGTTGAAGATTGTGGCACAAAATCTGGTTCTTCCTATAAAATATTCATCTCTTTCAAGAGAAATTAGGTCTGGAACTGAAGGAAAATTTTAATTGAAAATGGATAAAAGGCTGAAATTTCACTTAGCACCGAAGTTCCTCTATGAATTTAAAGGGACAATAATAACCTACTATAGAATTAATGTTTTTTTTGTTGGGTGGTGGGGGGGGGGGGGGGGGAGGCGGGGGAGGGACGGCGGGGGCGGGGGGTGTATGGGATTTGGAGGGGCTAGTAGTGGGCATTGAGGCACCTGCTTGGATGGCTAGGTGCCACCCTCACACCTAGGAGGGTGTAGGCCACCTAGGCGGGCTCCTGTGACAAGTCCAAATTGGGCTCTGATCTAAGTCTATTCAGTTTAGGAGGGTGCCTCGACTGCTTGTGTAGCTCACCTACTCGACGAAGCACCCGTATTTCTCATTGCTATTTTGTCTAGGTGAAAGTTAAGCTGTGGAAGGGATCGTTGTTGAGGTGGTTTCGGATGATAAAAGAGTCCATACTCACTGTGATTCTCCCATTGCGGTTTTTCGTATGGGTCCGCTAGGTGACTTTGAAATCCCTGTGCAGTCCCAATAGATTGGCATCCAGGCTGCTATGTTGTTTAGTTCTTCTCAAGGAGCACCCGAGTTGTGGGATATTTGGTCCATAGACTGCTATGAACTTGTACTGGAAGTAGTTTTTTTGGGTTTTAGAGAGGCAAGTTGAGTATAAATAGACACCTATGAGGGAGGAGACAAGATCGCAAGCATTGGGTCTCGAAGGACCATGGATCCTTGGAGGTCCCTTTGGCTTCCAAAGCAAACCCATTGACGTGGGCAGACGCCAAACGTGTCAGAAGAGCTACAGACTTGGACTGGGAGTTTGGTTTCTATCGCTGCTAAAAATTCATGGGCACCTTGTTGGGAATAATTCTGGATGACATCTGTCTTTTCAATGCTGCCTAGGCTGTGGTTCAAGACAAGGAACTTCATTAGTCATGGGCAAAGGGACAGGGTAGATGTCTCAAGGAGTGCCTTTGTAGTTGGCCCTTTGAAGGGGTGTGGTGATGCTGCTAGGGAATGAGGAAGGAGTTGGCTCCCTTAGTTTATTCTGCATCAGAGGTTTATCAACTCTCTCGTTCCCTTGTTACTAGTCCTACCCTTGTCTCTTGTGCTCTTCTAAAAGATGGCACCTATAGTAGAATTGTCGTAGTTAAACCTGTCACCTATAGCATTTCATCAGCACTAGGTGCCCCCCCCCCCCGGTTTGATCCTTCCATTCTTATCAGAGTTAGTTGATAAGGACTCAATATCTGAGTTGAAACTTTCCTCCTGGTCTAGCTGGTGGTGTACTTGGGGAAGGGGGTAACCCATATTTCTTTGTTAGCAGGATCTGAGCTGATGGTGTAGGGTCCACTAGTGTTGGATGTGAGACAAGAAGTTCTGGTTGGGTTGGTAAAACAGGAAGCGAAGGGTGAGGTGGTATTTGTTTTTGGTGGGCGGGGGGATTGGTGGGATGGGCATGATGTTTTTTGAGGAGGGTTGGTGGTAGAGAGCTCTTCTAGTGAGGCGGAGCTTTGTGAGGCTCATGCCCTTCTCCGGTGGCAATCGGAACCATGTGATTAGGCCTAGAGAGGAGTTGTCAAGGTGATGGCTGGCCATAGTGGTGGCATAATGGCAAGGGGTAGAAGAGCTTCATGTAGAAGAATAGTGGTGCTGCTGAGGGGGCGGTTAGTAGTGGGCACATCGTTGGTATGGGTGGGTAGTGCCTAGGGTTCAGGGGGACTATTGCGAAGCATGGCAAAAGAAATTTCAATGGAGAAGGGGGAATTGGCAGTGGTGGTGGCGGGGCCAAAATAAATGGTTCTTGTGTGGGGTGGGAGGTAGTGCATGTATAACAGTGGCTTGAGGGTAGCAGGGGTGATGTGTTGGAGGGGTTGGTTTAGGTATCTGGGTTGACATTGTTTCAACACAGGTGGAGAGGTTTGAGTGGGTAGTGAGGGGCTAGCGGGTGTTGGTAGAAGGGGGTGGCCGGGACAGGGTTTAGAGTAAAATGTTGGGGCTGCGGCCTTTTAAGGCCCTGACACCACCATTTTCTTATGGTTCTTGGTGCGACCAAACAATAACATGTGACTTGCTGAATCTGTGTGAAGTGGGATCTGGAGTTGGTTTCCATACAGAAAACTTTGGATCATGGGGAGCAAGATTAATGGGCAACAAACTCAAAGGGTTGAGGTTTGCCCTAGTTCGGGTTGGTACAAGATTGTCTCATGATCTTATAAGCTAGGGCACGAGGAATTCGTATTATTTGTGGATCAAGGAACTTTTTTATTTTGAGCATTTCTGAGTATTACTAAGAATTTATGAGCGAAGCCTTGTGTGAGAAGGATAGGCTTTGAGAGGGCATGAGCCAAATCCTGAAGGTCGAGCTTTCATACAGCATGTGCATGAGCAGTTACAAACGAGAAGTTACTCTCTCACAGTTCAATCCATGTGAGAATGCCCTCGCATCCCGAGTGCATGTCTTTGAGGGTCCACCTACAGTCCAGTATAATATTGGGACTTGGCCATCTATTGGATTAGCTTTGATAAGTTAAGCATCAATCCATGCTAAAGTCGGTGGACCATAAGTATTGTTGGGTTAATTTCAAGAAAATGAGTTAGGGTTTCGGGCCTAGGCAAGGGGAGTGCCCAAACCGTCAAGTTAGTTTCCTGAAGGATCGTAATTTCCCTCAAGATATTTTTCTTTAAACCTACATAATGGCGTAATATATTATTAAAAATGATTTTTGATGAAGTTTTGGGATTTTTCTAAATGCAAAATGATGGTTTTTGAATTTCTCTCGAAGTAATTCCCATTGATGAGGAGCCACTTGGGTCACACATGTGGTTGACAACGTGGTAGCCAAGTCATGCCTATGTCGGCAACGTGGCATGACTTCATTCCTCATGGAGTAAATTAAATTTGTTTGTTGAGAGCTTTTTATTCATGATAACCATGTTTTATGAGAATCAACATGTGTATAAACTTGGCACATGTGGATGCCAACTAAGCCTCCAATAATATTTTAGATCTTATGAGCTCTTACAAGGTGGAGTAATTTGATTGATCGAATGTATGATCTATGACAACACGTGTGTGTACTATGACAACACTTCTGCTCTATGACAACACGTGCACTATGATACACATGTGGATCAAGACATCTAGTGAGAAAGCAAGTTTGAAATTTAAATATCTAGAGTGAGAAAGAGAAATAAAAGGGGCAAGCCCCTACCACGTCCTTCTCTTACATATTTAGCCCTACAGTATGGGCAATTGTGTAAAGCGATTTAATTGAATTTTTATTATTCAAAATAATTTACTTAAGAGGTAATTTGGAAATTGGCTTGTACTTGTCTGATAGGAAGTAGTATGATGTGGGGCTAGGATCAACCCTCTATCTCAAGTCATAGATGCTCTTGAATTAATGGCCCATAGTAACTATAGGAAAGGCAACCACTTATATCTTTTAGGTGTTGAAACCCCATAAAACTCAAACCTAATTCTCTTATCTCCATTCCTAAGAGCCCAACGTGCCATACGACTTCGAGAGAGAGAGAGAAGAGAGTGACTTTCCTCTCTTTCTTGGTCTTCTTTTCATGGTGCTTATGGTATCTTGTGTAATTGCCGCATACCAATGAAGCTAAATGGCAAGTTCTGTAGGGCAATTGTGAAACCAACTTTGCTTTATGGGGCAGAATGTTGGGCGGACAAAAAACAATATACTTATTGAATCAGTGTAGTGGAGATGAGGATGTTGAGATGGATGAGTGGTAAGACAAGAAGGGATAGAATTTGAAATGAATTCATTCAGAAGAATTTAGATGTGGCACCAACAGGTAATAAGATGAGAGAGAAAAGATTTAGGTGGGCTGGTCATGTATGGTGCCAACCAAGTACAACACATGTTAGAAGGTGCGAGTTAGTTCAAGTGGAAGGACTGAAAAAGGAAAAAGGTAGGCCCAAAAGGACGAGGTTGGAAGTAGTCCAAAAAGATATGGAGACTTATGGCCTCATTGAGAGTATGACCTTTAATAAAGCCAAATAGCAGATTAGGATTCATATAGCCGACTTCAATTAATTGGGAAAAGATTATATATATATAATTTAAAATTTTCCTTTTTGCCCCATTTTTTGAATCATTGCCATGGTGATTTTTCAGCTTCAGCTCCTAAAGAAGAATCGAATCACTGAGCTTCAAGAGAAGAAAGTCGATCGCATAAGGAAAGTGAAACCGATCTTGGAGGCATCTATTTTGAGGCTTGATGACTCTATAATGCTCTTTCACAACTTTTGAAGAAGAGGTATTATAGTTATTTACTCCTCTCACCTAGCATAAAGGGTAGTGCCTGTTTATTGTTCTTTGGGAAGTTGAACCTACTTTAACAGAATTCAGTAGTTTGGTACACAATTTTGTCGGGCTCCCCAAAAGCTTTTGGTGTTCCTCCCCAAAGTTGAGATGGTATTGATCAACTTACACTTGTGTAGGACCCCTAGCATGGGGTCATCATTTGTTTGCTAAATTGTAAGTGCGAAGTAGTGTGAACTGTGAAGTTATGGTCTAGAATGAGGAATTGTCAGTACCTTAGTTCCTATTTTTTGTTCGAAGCAGTAAAGTTTCGCAATTTAGCATGTAGTTGATTCTCTCTCTTAACTGTGAAGGCATTATCCCGGATGAAGAATTGTCGGTACCCTTTGTGTCGAGAGTTCTAAATTTAAAAAAAAAACATGTTTTGGAGCTGTATACTATGTTAACAAGTGATGTGCAAAACAATTTTTGAGCAACTCCTTAACCATCCCTTGATGACACATCGAATAGATGAGGAGTTGCTAACATACTGAAACTGATACGCTCGTATTGTATATAATCCGTTTGGTTATATAAACCAATTTGAAAACGGGATAACATACTTCATAAGGCATGAGTTCCAGTATCATAAGTGTTTATTCATAAGAGCAATCGAGAATTTGATCCATAACCCTTCGCGCTTCGTGAGGAGATATACATATATGTTTAGTTAATGCTCGTATTTTTGTACTTCAGATTTTCATTATCATAATTTTTTTACCTCCCGTCAAATGTGAATGATGAACGCCTAATTAACGAGGAAATTTACTATCATTTCTCGCATGTTCCCAGAAAGTAAAAATATGTGCAATTTCTCCCAATGACCAAAAAAGTTGACTGCATGCCAGAGAAGAGCTGCTGCTCAAAACTCTGAGCTCCTATTTGGAGGTAGAAAAATGTAGCAATCGTGCCATTTTGTAGCACACCTATTCAAGAATGATGAGCATCCCAGGTTGGTTTGCTACAAGTCACTAGGAAACCTATTTCATTTATAACCTGCTCATTGTTGAAAGTGTTACTGGTCCTAAAGACTAGGAAGCCTATTTTTCCTCTAAATATAAAAAAAGAAAAAAGGTACTTTTGTTAGCTGATTGTTGAAGGTATTTCTTCGATATGAATATTAGCATGTCGGACCTTAAGGAAACGGCACTCTTTTACTTGGTTTTAGTGATGGTTTATGTCGGTATTCAAAACCCAACTCCTTTGTGGAGCTAAAGGAAAACAATAAATATGATTTTTTTGGGATAATTCAGTTGGAAAAGGGATATGTTACCTATAATTGGAATGGAATTTAAGAAGTCATTTTATTGTGATCACCTAGCCTTTGAGCCCATTCCTAATATGACTTAAATATTGACCTAAAGAAAAGGAAAGTCCACTTTTTCCCTATTTAATCATTTAATTTGATGATTTCCTTAAAATGAGTTCATATGGAAAAGTTTGCTTGATAAACTCACACCAAGTGACAGCACTGAAAAGTTAAAAAAGAAAAAAAAAAAAGTGCACAAAGCACTGAATTTTGAGGAAATCCAATAATCATGGAAAGATCATAGTTCATTGGGTCATAACCATGACATAAAATGGACCGTGATGAAGGTGAATGCAGCTTTGTACTCATATCCTGCTTTGGTGGGTCCCACTGATCACCGTCCATGAGTTCAATGGACGGCCGTGACCCAGTGGAGGGTCCATTACACATTACGGTGCACTTTCCATCCGACAATTATGCTCTCTCCCTACTCAATATCAGAGAAGGGCGACCGTATTTACTAGTCCTGATGTGGCCACAATCTCTTATTTTCTAATATGACCAATATGCCCTTGCATTTGGTGAAATTATTTACGAATTGTGACCAAAGAGAGAACCTAATCTCTCCAACAAATGGGGAATAGTATTGAACACCATTTCAGCACCTCAAAAAGAAAAAAAAAACGGAAAATGTTCATTTGACGTTTTAGAATTAAGGTGTACCTCATATTTTTTTTGAAAAAAGTTGTTTTGATATCAAAAAAATATCTAATTGATCATCTCCACATCAGGATGTATAGATATGGATGAAAAAAAAGAGATTTCAAGTCTTAAAAATTAGTACATCTAGCAACACATTATCTGATCTATTTTCAAGATTTTCATGCGTTTATAGATATATCGTTTTGAACTTTTTTTGAAGTTAAAATTTTATAATTAAAGTTAAAAATAGATTTTTGTACGTTTTAAGAATTTTTTACACCAAAATTTATTGGCACATGTGACCAAGAGGCATCACGTTGCCTGACCTTTAGTTATGGGCCTCACCTAATTTTTTGAGAGGAATCCCACGGGTATTTTTTTTAATGCTTATCCATTGTTAAAATATTTTCTTAAATGTATAATATAAATAAGCATCGATGAGATCTGGGAGTATGTTCCGGTAAGGAATGGAATGTGGGTCCATGTTCCTTCATATAAATATAGGACTTTAGGGAGAGGAAAACACAACTATTTACAGAACTCATGTGTTTAGAGAAAGCTTGTCTTCTCTCTCCAAAAGAGTTCCTCTCTTCTCTCTCCAAAATAGTTCTTGAAATAAAATCTAAGCTATGCGATTATCAACTTCACGGCACATCCCTCTCAATAATCAGCTTGGAGCTCATCCTCACACCAAACAAATTTTTTTTTTCACCGGTATCATAGCAATCATAATCTTTATTTGATCTTTTATCTTATTTTTTAGTTAATAAGTGTCAAATTTTTTTTAAAAAAAATGTAGGAGAAATCCAAACTCGTGGCTATTCATGCTCACCATAAGGTTTCTTGCTTGATTGTTAATATTTTTATCTTGTTTGCACTAATAATTTTTCTATGCTTGAAGCTAACGCTTATCGTATGGAAGCCACAAAGGTAGTTTGTGTCATTCGCTTTACTTTTCATTGGGTTTATCTCATTTCCCATATGTGGCAAAGGCTTTCTCGCCGTTTGAAGTTTTTTTTGGCGTTTTCACTTTTCAAAATAGGTGTACTCTCCCACAGTCTTCCTTAGTTTTCTCTTTCTAAAATTCTTGCTTAGAGAAAATCCAATAGCCACTGATCCTATTCCCACCGTACTTTGGAACATGAAATGGTGGAGCATTTCTTTGCAAGGGTGAGAGAGAAGCCATTTGATAGATTGAAACATTATATATATATATATATATATATATATATATATATA